AAAGAAAAAAGTAGAGATAGTAACAGCAGGAAGCAGCTACAACTCCCCATTAGTGAACAAAGGCAGAGAAGGGTGTTAGAAGCTAGAAACTTGCAGAAGGACCCTGTGGAGCCAAGGTTCTGACTTGGGGAAGGGTGGTCTTCAGCTGACGCTGATGGTCATAGCCTCAGAGGCCCCACGGAGCTGGAGGTCAGACCCGTCCAGGAGGCACTGGTTGGTGCTGTCATTTCTGAAGAATGGCAACGATCCTGGTTCCAACTGCCCCTGGAACAAACTGCTGCTGCCAAGTACAATACTGCTGATGGCCAGACACTGACAGGTGAGCAAACAGAAGCAAGTCCCAGAACTCTTCCAACCCTTGGTGTCCCTCTAGTGCTCCCTATTGGCAGAACCTAACAGAGATTCAGCTGGCAGAGGAGAAAAAGATTTGCTTAGTTCCAGTCATAGCATTACATAAAAAAGATTGTCGAAGGGTGGGTTGGAGCTGAGAGACAATAGCGTAGTAATCAGCACATGCAAATAACTGTACACCAGACAGCAGGAAGACTGGATGAAGCACAGCAATTGTTTTCACATGGTCTAGGTTCACCGTGTTGAGCAGAAGTAGGAAATGTGTAATTTACCATACACAGTATATACATTTCAAAAAGATGCAAAATAGCACTAAGTAGGGATATGTATATACATAATAAACTATCAAGAAGTCATGGGAATAATCTCTGAAAATCTCATAACAGTGATTTCCTCAAGGGGGTGGGGAAAGGAGTGTGCCGGAGGGAGACACACTGCTCAAGCATGAGCTGGGGAGTGGGTACTTGGGTGATACTTAATACACACTTTTATACATTCTGTGTGTCAGAAACGTCTGCAGAAAAAAATTGTAAAATAACTTGGCATATGCACTTGTTTTTTAATAAAATCTTGCTTCATTTGGAAACTCTCCCAGGCTTTGATAATTCTAAGCCCTAGGCAGCCCCTTTCTTTAGGATCAGCATGGTCTCCCTCCTCTTTTCCTTCACTTGACAAAAGCTGCGTCTTGTCCTCTACAGAGCTAATGCTACCCACTCTGTTTTTTTGAAGTTATTATGCTCAAGACTGGCAGAAGAGTGGTGCCAGGCCATCAGAGCACTGATGGTGCCACCCCCAAAGAAAAGTACACAGTGGTGCCACCCCCAAAGAAAAGTACAGAGATCCTTTGCATTTAAAGGTGTTGTGCAACTCACTATACAGAATGAAATAAAGGTTAACAAACTTCGGGAACTGCATTTGTCCAACAGTGGTACTCCAACTCGAAACAGAATGATAAAAAAAACAATGACACTCCTTGGCTCACAGAACTGGCAAGTCTAGTGGAATACAGGTTTCACCTGGCTGGATCCAGGTGCTTAAATGACGTCTTCAGAGCTCTCTGACTCAGTTCTCCTCTACCCTCATCCTTGGACACAGGTTCTTTCCAATTTGCAGTGAAAATGGCTTCTAGGGACTCCAGATTTTCATGTTTCCTGTGCCTCTGATCAAAGAAGAGACTGCTTCTCTTTCAGTGTTAAGTCAGAAATCCCAGGGAGGATTCACTAGCCTGACCTCACCATGTGCTCAACCCTGTGTGAATCACTGGGCCGAATTACTGGTCTGTGATTTGCTAGGCAATGTACTACACCCTGGAGCCGAGAGGACTGAGCCCCACCTAAACTACATGTACTGAGTTATCTTTAAGAAAGAAGGGAGAAAGGAGGCCTGGCAGAGGGAAACAATGGACATTCACCTCAGGAAGCTAGAAAAGATTCCAAGCGTAATTAATGATTTCCTTGATCATATCGGCCTTCTTTTTCTGGGAGAATCAATGCAACAAAAGCAACACTTGCCTTTCAGAAGATCTTCAGACTCCCTGACGTCATTTCACTTACACTTTTCTCATTCCTTCTTAGACCCACCTAAAATATTCCTTATGTAAGGTAGGGTGCCAAAAGCATTATAGGAAAATCCCATTCTATACTTGGTAACCACGTGTGAGCGTTCTCATGAAATTGTGAAAATCATGCTTCTAGCCTTCTAGACTTCAAATACTGTGTGTCTGTTATATCTACTTTTAACTTATAAAGACTTTTTGACTCACAAGCATTCATGGGGAACCATTCAAAATTGGCACATCTAATTTTAGAAGACATAAAAACTACCATTTTTCTTGATCATAAAACAGAGTATTAACCTTTTTTCCCCTTTTTTTTAATCATAAAAGGTAAAAAAAAATCATCGACTCTGTTAGAGACCTTTCTTCAAACAATATGTGTGAGAGTCTTATAGTTGGCAATCTCCTAACATGTTTTTCATTGTTTATTGACTATTTATAATATCAAAGGTTAAAATTATAATGTGAAGTGACCTTAGTGTAAGAAGTCCTGAGCATCTAGCTAAAGGACTGAAATTTAGGAGTTCAGTAGTAATAAATGAAATATAAAATATTAAAAAAAAAATAAACTTCTGAATGCCAAATGAAAAGTGCCCAAAGGAAAAGGGGAACGGGCTTATGACTTATAACCGATTGAAGCTGTCATCTGGGTTGTTCAATCCATATTTAAATAAAATAAGGTGTCAAAAGAGTCTTGAAGACAGGCAAATTGAAATCAGTTTACTCATTACTTTTCTTCTTGAACTTATCTTCAAGTGGTCTAGAAATTCTCAAAAAAATTCTTGAAATATTTTCTTTCCCATTTCAAGTGCTCTCTATCCCTATTGTATACTCAAGAAATTCTCTCCATAGCCATTATCTTTTTCTCCATCCAAATGTCTTTTTGGGAATGCCTTTATTAGAAGTAACCCTGTGTGGCTGAGTGCGGGTGTGGGTGTGACGACCACATTGACCTAAGCAGGCATCCAACCTCAGATTTCTTTCAGAACACTATTACCAATTGGCTCTCCAGGAAAGTGGGTCAGCATGGAGTTAGAAATGTGGAAAGAATTTAGGAAAGAGGTCAGAGGTCAGAACAGAAAGAGTGCCATTGGGATTTCCCTGTGCAAAGAAATGAGCTGATACCATGAGAACAGGTCAAAATGCAAAGAAAGGCTGGGCTCCGTGGCTCAGCCTATCATCCAGTGCTTTGGGAGGCTGAGGCAAGTGAATTGCCTGAGCCCACAGGTTCAAGACCAACCCGGGCAACTTGGTGAGGCCTCATCTCTACAACAAATAAAAAATTAGCCAGGCATGGTAGTGCACCCCTGTAGTTCTGGCTACTTGGAAGGCTGAGGTGGAAGGATTGCCGGAGTCCAGCAGGTCAACACTGGGGTGACCGGGAGCGTGCCACTGCACTCCAGCCTATGAGACACAGTGAGACTCAAAAAACAAAAAACTCAAAAAACAAAAAACACAAAGAAAGTAGAAAGTAGGGAGGGGCAATGGTGATGCAGAGCAAGCTACGAGTATATCACAGAAATGACAGGCATAGACTATATCAAAGGGGCAATGTTAGAGTGGCAAAGAGAATGCATAGACCACCGTGCCAGCACCTAGTGCTTAGGATATAGGAGGTTATCAGTAAATGCTTCCTGAATGAATGAAGGATAGACAGTGAGCCCTGAGAGAGGGCTGGCATTGAGAGTATAGCTTTGTAACACAGGGGGTTGTAGCTGCGAAAGTTGTAAATGAGCATCTCAGGAAAAAAGTCTAATGAGAGCCAAAAGGAGAGAATCAGAGCGTTGTTTACTACCTCCAGAACCACAAGGGACTCAAGAACTAACATGAAATTTTAAAGTGAGGCAAAAGATAGTTAGCAAAGGAACTGTACTCTGACATTAGATTTTTTAGAAACTAATGAGTTGCTCCCTATATTAAAAACTATGCTTGGGTTGTTTGGTAAAATAAAATGCATGTGTGAAACCTATGTGACTAGATGGGTTAAAATGTGGTGCAAGCAACTTTACAGTTGAGTAGAAGTACTCTTTGTTTTCTTTGGAATTGGATGCTTTTTTGTTGTTGTTTTGTCTTTTAATAAATGGAGGCACAGTGGTAAGTTCCAAGTTTGAATCAGAGGAAGACCTGTCCCTTTCTGTGAAGTGAGCTCCTTGCTTGAATCTTTCTCAAAACAGGCTGTTCAAGGACAGTCAAGATCTAAACTTCTGGAAAGGAAACACCATTGCCCAAGAGCCACGATACATACAGCAAACCCACTGCACAATATCTAACTTCCTCAAGCAAAACCAGTAGATCTGAATGTTCCCAATTTTATGAAGAAACCCCAAATTTTGATGATTTTATGACTTGAACTATATACATTGATGTACATTCACCACAGCTTTAGAATTAACTCCTTTAGGACATTGTCCATTGTCTACTGATAAGTTCTGATCTGGCCATCTCATCATCAGGCACCTGTGGCAAAATACAAAAAGTTAAACACTGTACGAGCCCACTCATATGTGGAAGCTTCAAAAAATGTTGATCTCATAAAAAGTACAAGAGGCTGGGAAGGGCAGGGGGGAATGGAGGAATAAGGAGAGATTTATTAAAGGATACAAAATTACAGATAGATAGGAGGAATGAATACCAGTGTTCTATAGCACTGAAGGATGCCTACAGTTAGCAATAGTATATAGTTTCAAAAAGCTAGAAGGAGGATATTGAATGTTCTCAACAAACACACAAAAAATAAATATTTGAGATGGTGGATATGCTAATTATCCTGATCTAATGTATGTATTGAAGATCACTGTACACCCCATGAATATGTAGTTATTATTTGTCAACCAGAAATAAAATTAAATTTAAAAAAAGAATTACCACCTTTGACATCCCAACACCGAACACAGAACACATAAGCTCTTTCCAAAATTAAACACAAAATGTGGCTTAACTTCCATATCCCTTCTCTTAAGTAACCACAAGATGACGAAAGTAGTCTTAATTTCCTAGTGCATTTTAGTAGACAATCACAATTGAATCCATAGGTAGATTTATGACAATATGTAAAACCAAATATCTCCCTAATCATTAGCACAGAAAACTAGTCGAATTCAAATGGTCTTTAATGTCAAAAAGAATTCAGTCATAAACCTCTCAATTCCCATCATTCTTAATCTTTTCAAGGACACGGCTGAGTTTACAAAGGCCCTGAAACACCTCTCCATGCACCCTGTCTCCCACACAAACACACACAAAATCTCATAGCAAATAAGGCTGGAGCTGGGGTTCGATCCTCATTTATCTGACCCAAACACCCAGGTTCTTTCCATTGTACCACATTGCTACGTGTCATAGAGACCAAAAAAAAGAGACACAATTACCATAATAGTTCAAAATAATCCTTGATGAGAAAAAAAAATTCAGAATCATTGGTCTATACTGCTGAGATAGTCCTTCAGAGTTTTAATAAACTTGGGAACCTGATAAACACATGTAGCAAAATAGATGATGCAAAAATTGCTGGGATAAAGAGATGTCCTATATTATTACAATATTTTGCAAGGCTACAATCATTAATAATGTGAATATTCGCAGGTAAGTTATTGCTGAATTGCTGGTCTTGCAGGAGCTGTACAGTAAGTCCTTTGAGTACCACCTTCCAAACAGGGACACTGTTAGGATGGGCTCAGATGAACCATTCTTGTTTATCAAACGGCCATCTTTTAGCACCTAAAGAAAAAGTGGGGAAAGTACGGTCAGCTTTATTAAAACACACATTATGAACAGACTAGTGATTTCAAAATTATCCTAGATATAATAGGTGATCAAGTCCTTCCTGTTTGGGGAGGGAGAAACAAGCAGACCAGGCAGAGGACAACTGTTTTCCATGTAACGAAGACTAGAGTCATTCAAGAAAGCCCAAGATTGAGTTTCAACAGTCAAATGTAACTGGTAATGAAATCAAAATCAGCAGCAGCAAAGATTCACTGAGCTCAATTATGTGCAAGAGAATCAGGAACCAGAAAGGTAAACAACACACCCTTCCCTCAAGAAGCCTTTAAGCACCATAGTTGCCTCAGGTGACAGTGAGAAGATTCTAAACATAGAGAAATCAGGACCTGGTGCCGTGGTTCACCCTGTAGTACAGTGGCTAATCCCAGCACTTTGGGAGGCTGAGGCGGGAGAATTGCTTGAGCCTGGGAGTTAGAGACCAGACTAGGCAACATAGTGAGATCTCATCTCTAAAAATATTAAAAACTAGATAGGCAAGGTGGTGCATGTTTGTAGTCCCAGCTACTCAGGAGGGACTACACTGCACTCCAGCCTGGGTAACAGAATAAAACCCTGACACACAGAGAGAGAGAGAGAGAGAGAGAGAGAGAGAGAGAGAGAGAGAGAGAGAGAGAGAGAGAGAGAGACAGTATATGAGTATATCAGACGGGGAAACAGATAAATACTTAGAAGGTCTGAGAAGGAAAAGCTGAACTGGTCTGCTATCCAGAGTGAGACACAGCCTGCCATAAAAAAAGAGCAGTCAGGAATTTCTTCCTGGTATTGTATGGCAGAAGACATTGTGGGGTATGGAAATTAAAGAAGCAAAGGCTCTTCTGAGACAGAAGTTTGTGTGACAGGTCTAGCTAGCATGCTTTCTAGTCTGTTTAGAACGAGTGGTATGTTGGAACCAGTAGTGCCCTTGCTTATGAGAACAGGTTGTTAAACTCTCAGGAACTTTGACAGCTGCTGGCTAAGCACAGCTATTCTTGGAATTGATCATGGCAGGAATATTTACACCAGAAAAACTGGCAAATGCCACAGATCGAGGCTTTTTATTTTCTTCCTTGAGAGGAGGCTGTTAAAATTTACAGCACACCACTGGCTAAAGTTGAAGATCAGTAAAGACAAGGAAAAGCCATATGATCATAGGAAGGTGGGGATCAGGTTGTGGAAGTTGTGACTCTATCCTGAAGCCTCAGAGGATTCTCTGTAAGGGAGGAACGTGTACAAAGTAATTGAACAAGAGGAGAAGAAAACATGAGTAGACAGACAACAGATAGAACAAGAATAAAAGAAGATGAAGCCATCAGTGTGGGAAGGACAGTTTGGATGGAGAAGAAATTAGAAACTGGGAAAACAGACACTTTATAACTGGAAGAAGAGAAGAGCTAAATATCCTAGAAAACAACTATTGTGTTTCACTGTTCACAAGGTGCCTTCACATGCATAATTATATTTGTCATCACCAAATCAGTGAGGAAGGTATACTCTATCAGTAGGGAATTCTAGAGGTTAAGAAACTTTCCTGAGATTCCATAACTAGTTAGTTGCAGAGATCAGCCTCTGCCAGTGCTTCTAACAATACACCAGAGCTATCTTAGGTGCTAAAGCAAGATGATTCCACATTTGTGGGCATGACCGTAACACTCCATCTTTTTTTTTTTTTTTTTGAGTGGGAGTCTCACTCTGTCACCCAGGCTAGAGGGCAGTGGCACCCTCACAACCACCACAGTCTCGACCTGCTGGGCTCAGGTGATCCTTCCTCCTCAGCCTTCCAAGTAGCTGGAAGTACAGGCATGAGCCACCATGCCCAGCTAACTTTTTATTTATTGTAGAGATGAGGTCTTGCCGAGTTGCCCAAACTGGTCTCAAACCCGCGGGCTCAGGCAATCCTCTCACCTCGGCCTCCCAAAGTGCTCAGATTATAGGCATGAGCCACTGTGGCCAGCCTACACTGCACCCTTTTAACATAAAACTATGAGGTGGGGTAAGGGGAAGATTATACAGTAAGTGTGCTGAAATCTCTGGAACAATGACCCTCTAAGATAATGTGTAAATATTTGTTGAGGAAGTGTCCACTGGTCAATAGAACTGGGAAAATACTCAAGAAGACATTGCATGACATGCTCACAATTTTTTAATTTGTCATCTACGATATGATAACTACTCTCTCGAGAAAGGCCATCCTCTGCAAGGTCTCTAGAGAAGGAAGCACTAAAATAATCAAGAATTGGTTATGATTTATTTGACTTTTTTTGAGAAAAGGAGGCATCCTGGCCCTATGTGGTCTTTAGGTCATCAGCCCTAAAGATGAGAAACACATTGCCTCAGGCTACCACGGCTTCTTAGAAATCTTTTCTAGAATGCCTATTTCCTCTTGTTTGAATTCTGTTCACAAACAAACTTCTGATTCATGCTTTGGACTCTTGAGAGGATCTGCCAATAAAGAGGCTTCTTGAGAAGACAGTTGGTTGTTGTCCAGCCAAATGAATCTAATTTTTAAAATAACAAATTGGTGTTCTCTTCCATCCATCTTTGAGTCTGGTTAGTATCTGTTCTTTAGAATCTGATTAACTTCAGGGAAAGTCATGCCATAGAGAATCTACACATGTGAAATAAAGACCTACAGCACCCTGACTAGGATGCTCCCTCTAAGGAATTGCTATACCAAAGACCCTGCCTGCCAGCTGTCAAAAGCCTCTTTTATATCTTTCTTGGTGTAACACAACCTGTATCTCATTTCCTGTTTCTAAAAGTGAGCTGGAATAGTAGGCAAGACAAGATTCAAATGATAAGTATACCAAAAGTGCCTAATTTAAAAGATAGATGCCATCCCTCCTGTCTCTTCTCCCTTCCATCCAAGAAGCAGCAGCCAGAGATGGGAGAGAACATGACAAGTCCAGAGACTTGTTCAGATTTGAGAACCACACACACACTACAGACTTAAGATTAACTCTAGAGCGTAAAAGCCAAACATTCTCTCTCCTGTATCAATCACTAACTGCTCCCAACTTCCTGAAACCATTTATAAGAAAAATTTCAAAGAAAGGAGGAGGCAGCTGTAAATAACTTCCTTTCTGCTCTCCATCTCCTCATCCACTAGCCCCATCCAACTTCTTCAAATGCGTATGTGGTTCAGAGCAGTAATAAAATGGCATTTCTGGTTCTGAACCTTTAACCTGGTCCAGAAAGCTAGTCTCTTTTATTTTTCTCCTCCTATGGATGGGGTAGTTTCATGAGGTGAATGTCCAGTCCTACTCTGGGACGATTCTTCAAAGAGATAGATTTCTATGAGTATGCAACATGAAAAAAAGCATCAAAGTGGTACCCAGAGAATTCGATCCTGTGCTTAGTTTAAATGGCTGGGCTTACAGGGCATAATGCACCAACATGACCAGACTTTAGGGCGTCCTAAGTTGACTTTTGTGACCTTGCTTCTCTCTGTTACTTTCTTGAAATGACCTCAGATGTTTTCTGTTTATGTACACTAGTTTATGCCACTTTTTAACTACTGGTTTTTTAGTTCCTCACTTTGGATCTGAACATGATTTTCTATAGTTGACAGTTAAGCTTTTATTCCAACCACAATGTGTTTGTGAGATTCTACCTATCTGGGTTCTACAGCCAGGGAGTCCTTTCTCTAGATTTCACAACCTTTAGACTGCACTGTATGTTAAACTGTTGTTTTCATAGAATTATAAATATTATAGATATTCCAAACTGATAATACAGACAGATGCAAATATATGACTATATGCAGTCTGCAATTTTCAAGACTTCTTTGCCTGATGACTCAGATAAAGTAACTTAGATTCTATTTCCTTCCTTCCTTCCTTCCTTCCTTCCTTCCTTCCTTCCTTCCTTCCTTCCTTCCTTCCTCTTTCTCTTTCTTTCTTTCTTCTCTCTCCTTCCTTCCTAACCAGGTCTCCAAGCTGAAGTGGAGTATAGAGGCCGAATTACAGCTCACTATGGCCTCAAACCCCAGGGCTGAAGTGATCCTCCCACCTTAGTCTCTCGAGTAGTTAGGACTACAGGAATGCACCACCATAAGCAGTTGATTTTTTTATATTTTGATGTTTTATTGCCTAGTCTGGTCTTGAGCTTCTGGACTCAGGTGATCCTCCTGCCTCAGCCTTCCAAAGTGCTGGGATTAGAGGCATGAGACACCATGCCTGGCCCTATTTTCCTTTTATAAACATGTAGTGATTTTACACTAGTTATTGAAACCCTGTCTCTGATTGCCAAAATTCAAAGACATTAATACCCAAACCGGTAGAGTGTGTGTGAGTATATATGCGTGTGTGTATGCACGTGCTGGATACTAGCAGATAGAAACCTGCAAGGCTCATAATTCTAATTTGAGAACAGCTTAAATTGTGAACGAATTGGTTACAACCACTATAATTTGTGAAATAAATACCTAATTTTCTGTTTATCTCCATATGTAACAAAATGAAATTAAAAGTCTATAAACAAACATTCTTCAATGAATAGTATCTTTCACTCATAGTTCTAGGTATGCTGGTTATTCCAGTGATATGTCATCAATTTAGAATTAGTTGCTATAAGTTGCAAAAATGGCCACAAAATGTTCCCCTCCTTTATCCATGCCCTTTTGAAATGCAAATTTTATTTATTTTTTGAGTTTAAAAACAAGGTCTTGCTATGTTGGCCAGGCTGGTCTTGAATTCCTGGGCTCAAGCAATCCTCCTGCCTTAGCCTTCCAAAATGCTGAGATTACAGGCATGAGCTACCACATCCAACCTACAGTGTGATTTTATAACTTTTCCTTTGAGATGTCTGAATCATTTGTCTCTCTACTCCTTGAATTTCCACTCTTCATGTGACTTGCTGTGGCCAATGAGACAACTGCATACTTGGTGCAAGGAGAGTTTTGCAAAGAACTTGCCTATTGTGGCTTTTCCTCTTGATGCTCTTGAACTCATTCAACTAGCATGTGACCAAGCCTGGGCTTGCTAAAAAGAAGAGTGACCATAGAGAGAAATGGTCCCTACAAACACTACAGACCTAAGATGAACTCTACAGAGCAAAAGTCACTCACTCTCTTGCATCAATCTCTGTTTCCAACTGCCTGAAACCATTTAGAAGAAAATTTTCAAAAAAAGGAGGAGGTAGCTATAAAATAATTCAACTAGTCATCTCAGTTGTCCAAGACAAGGCTATCAACAACCAGTCAGTCCCAATCAACCTGTTAGCCAATGACAGATGTAATGAGCTCAGCCAACACAAACTGAGTCCATCTCAGACCAGAAAAATGGCCTAGCTACACCCATTCAAATTGCCAACTTACAGAATCAGGGCTAAATAAATGGTGATTGTTTAAAGCTGTTACGTTTTTGAGGAAGTCTGTTACGTTTTTGAGGAAGTCTGTTACACAACAAAAGTTAACTAACTTGGTGGTCACAGCCTATTTTACTTGACTTCCAAGAACATACAAAATGAAAATACTCTTACAAATCCTCTTACCTCAAATTTTCCAGGTGACAGATGAATTTTAGTAAGTAGCACTTCAGGAAAAACATATTCTGTTCCAAATGTGCCACTGAGGGAGAACATTGCAAATCTTGTAGAAGCAGTTTCCACTGGTCGTCCGCACGTTGTCAAATTAGCAGTTTTACATTTCAGCATTGTGCAAACCTGTGTGGATCAGATGCAGACAAAATACAATGCCTCACAACTAAGTTATTTGTATCGGAATTGTTGACTTCATTTTTAGCCACAGCAAAGAAAAATTTTATTTCTCCACAAAGGGATATGGATCATGTTTCTTATAATGAACTATTTTATTGGAAATGGCAAATGATTTGAGAACAAACTCACTTCATGGATCACAAGTGGATTAAAAGGAATATACCAGGGCCGGATTCGGTGGCTCAGCCTGTAATTTCAGCACTTTGGGAGGCCAAGGCGAGTGGATTGCCTGAGCCTGAAGGTTCGAGACCAGCCTGGGCAACCTGGCAAGACCTCGTCTCCACGATAAACAAAAAATTTGTTCTGACTACTTGGAAAGTGGAGGCAGAAGGATCGCCGGAGTCCAGCAGGTTGACATTGGGGTGGCTGTGAGTGTGCCACTGCGCTCCAGCCTGGGTGAAGGAGTGAGACTCCAACACACAAAAAAAAAAAAAAAAAGGAATACGTCAGCTTAGAATTAGGATCAAACCATTAGTGATGGTGTTGAGCCCAAGAAAGTAGATTTCTTTAGGCAACAGCAGTACTGAAACTGAAAAGATGAGTAAAATTTTGACCATCACTCCATCTCACCTCTCTCTACTATAGCCTTCTTTACAAGAAGCCAGTGGGACATGGAGTAAAATAAGAAAATACAAATGTACAGTCACCATTCTATGCAAAGTCTGCCTATTTAAAATTTGTCATATGAAGAAAATAAAAAGACTAGGACAACTAGTTAGAAGAGAAACTAAGATAAAAGTGGTGCTTCTATTCTTAATAAGTTTTACAAGTGAAACCAAGACTGATTATATTCGGATATCTTGGCAAACCTAGTTAAGGCAGATTTCTTGAAGTTTGCTATTAGAGGCAAACTAGTTCATTAGTCAAATAGAAAGTCGTCATAGTCGTGCTAATTTTTTTTAATGCACTCAAAACACGCAATGGATGATATTTCATTTCCATTGCAATTATTTGACGTGTGTGTGTGTGTGTGTGTGTGTGTGTGTGTGTGTGTGTGTGTGTGAGAACAAATGTGAAATCTTGGAATTTGCTGACACTTAAAACCTCCACTTGACTTAAGCTGAGATTACCTGCCAGTACTCTCTTCTTCTTCGGCCATGTAATCCTGTAAAAGCTCCTAGGACATATACTTCATTCTCTTCTTTTTCTAACATTCTGTAGCTTAAATGACAGCAGAGTTCTTTTTGACAGACGGTAAGATTTCCTGCATTTTCAAAAAGTTCTGTGAAGTTGAACCCATCCCGGGAAATAAATCCCTTGAAAGTGTTTTTCTGTACTGAGAAGGGTTTGATGGCAGTGGCATAGGTACTCCAATTCACAGCTGCTGGGTAATCAGGAGAGCCTCGGGGGTGTGATTCCACCTCTGAAAGGAGAATCTTTCCTGAAGCTGTCTCCATGTCATGATGATATACCTTGGGAGAGTTTGGTGCATAGATACCACTCCCTGTGAATGAAAGACAAGTCTTTTAAAAACCGCAACACAAGAAAATCCAGCACTGCCAATTTCCCCATCAGAATTGGGCGTGTGATCGTGCCACCTTATTAGTCACAATGAGAGCATACATGCTTCTAGCTACACTGAACACTCCCCCTATTCTCTAATGGAAGAGATTAAAACAGACCCGTGGCCAGGTGCGATGGCTCAGCCTAATTCCAGCACTTTGGGAGGCCTAGGCGAGTGGATTGTCTGAGCTCGCAGGTTCGAGAACAGCCTGGGCAACATGGTGAGACTCCTGTCTCTACAATAAATAAAAAATTAGCCAGGCGTGGTAGTGACCAACTGTAGTTCCAGCTGCTCTGAGGGGAGAGGTGAAAGGAACACCGGAGCCCAGCAGGTTGATGCTGGGGTGTCTGTGGGTGTGCCATTGCACTCCAGCTAGAGTGACAGAGTGAGACTCCGACTCAACTACCCCCCACAAAAAAACCTGCAATAGTCTTGTTTCAAAGAAACTTTAAATATAATATCATTGCTTATTAGCATTATGGAAAATCAGACCAAATATTAAAATCTTTGTTTTTGGCAGTCCTTGAAAGATGAGGAAAACTAATACAACATTCTCTCATTTTCCCCACTGTGGTGATATTTACATATATCCAAAAATTCTTCAACATTCCTCTCTTCAGTGGGTGAATCCAATTCCCTTCTACTCAAATGTGGGCTGTACTTAGTGACTCACTTTGAATGAAAAAAACATGGTAGAAGTGATGGTGGATAGCTACTCATAAACAGCAATGTGGCTTTCTCCTTTCTCTCACTGTCTTTATTTGCTCTGGAGGAAGTCAGCCACCATGTCATTAAGGATACATCGTGCACCCCGGTGAAGAGACAAGTGGCAAGAAATGGAGGCTGCCAACAGTCACTGAGGACCTGAGGGTGCCTGCCAGGAGCCAGGTGAATGAGCCATCCTAGAATCAGTCAGCCTCAGTCAAGCCTTCAGATGGGTGGGAGCCCAGTCAACAGCTTGATACAACCCGAAAAGGTAGCCACTCCCAAATTCCTGGTCAACAGGAACCGTGAGGTGATAAATATTTGTTATTTTAAGCCACATTTACTTTTAACTTTTACATTAATTTGTTAAACAGCAGCATATAAATAGCACATTCCTCTGCTTTTGCCTGTTTAGAGCACATCTCTGTTCAGTTCCCTGTTTTGCCACTTACTACCTAGGTAGCCTATGGCAAGTTCCTTGCACTCTCTGTGTGTCTGTTTTCTCATCTGTAAGATTGAAATGATACTACCCGTCTCGTAGAATTGTTGTCAGAATTAAATGAAATGATACACATAAAGGCCTTAGTACAAGCATAAAATTAAGCACAAGCTTTTGTTTTTAGTACAAGTATAATCAAGCACAAGCTTTTCTTTTGTGTGTGTGAAAGGATGACAAACATAGGAGCTCCAACAATAAAACATAAGGAAATAAATACATAAATAATATGGGTCATAGCTGAGGCATTCATTTCTCTGTACTGAGAAACATAAGATGAAACCTAACCTGGTCATGAATTACCTGTCATATTTAGGCTGACATGATGTATGTTGGCCACAAGAAGATTAACTCTCATCCCCATTGCCCATGCTGAATGAAATTCAACAGCTGTCAAAAGGGGCAAAACATTCATCCAAGCCGAGGGAAACAGTATGGTGTCCACATGGAAATCTTTCACCAGGGTAACAGCAGGATCATGGAAGAGTATATCGAAGCATGTGAAAATGCCAAACCTTCCAAAGGGGGTGTTGAAAGTCACCAGTTCTGGCTTTTCAGGGACATCAAACTGAGGCTCAGAATAGAGGTGGTACTATAATAAATGTATAGAATAAAATTAGTAAAGGCTTTTTAATTGAAGAGATGACTCATAAAAACCTTGCAAAGGCAGTAACAGATGGTCAAGGAAGAGGAGAGGCATTCACATTGCCTGCACATCACATCTCCACCGAAAAGGCCAGCCTCTGTCTCCAGTCAGTTTAGTGCAAAATTATGACTTAAGGATTATTTTATTCTTTTTTAAATTCAGAGTTTATAGTAAAAATTGTAAGTTTTGAGCTTAAATCTACAAGAGGGTACTTTAACTGGTGTAGAAAATAAAGTATTTTTGTGATTTGATAGCAAGTTAACTTACGTGCAACTGATTCATACAATTTTGAGACATCTTTATACCATTTTAGTATTAAAAGGTATCCAGATTACAGTCACTTTAATATTTTTCAAATCAATACTAAAATTACTTGTTATATCTATCTATCTAATTTATCTATCTATATTTGTCAATCCATCAATCAACGTGTGTGTCCATGTACACACATACATATAGATAGATGGATAAAGAGATATATACATACACCAAAAAAACTGCCTCAATCTTGAACCATTATAGCAGTTTTCTAACAGGTTTCTACCTAAATTGTTTTCCATATCAGTTTTTTCCTAAAATGTCATTTTTTATTGTCATTTTTAAATTTTCATCTTCATGAAAAATATTTACGAACATATTATATAAGAAATGAAGCTCAAAGTCCTGAACACAACCTTTGCCACTCTCATACCAAGTTCCATCTACATGTCTGCTCTCTCCCTTACCTTATGGTAGCGTGCCACCAGTTGACCTTCTGTATTATACACCACGTTGGTATTGTATTGATAATAGCCATTAGGAGGACATGTGGAATCTTGGGAATTACATGGCTTCTTGTCTCCAATATTTGCCAAGATGTAGATAGAGTTGTTCTTGGCTAGGCAGCTGAGTCTTGCTTGTACTGGTGTGTGACCAAATCTAAACCAAAGTTTAAGATAGTCCCATTTTAAAAAGTATTTTAGTGACTTCACACAGAGACAATAATAACTGTAAAAGGTTAAGTGTGACTAAAGTTAATATAAAAACTACTCATCCAAAATGTCATATTTTAAAAGGCACAGGTTATACTCATACTTGATGAATATTTTCCATACCATATCTATTGCTTTGCAAATTCACTATTCATCACCTGCATCATCAATTGCCTCCTCTCTACTGGAATATTCCATCAGCATGCTATAGGCTCTAATATCTCTCATCCATAAAAAATAAAGCAAGACTTCTCTTGGCCCTTCCAAACATACCCTTCCAAATATTGCTTTAGTTCTCAGTTTCTCCTCAAGGCAAAACTCCTTAAAATAGCAGTGCATCACACTGTTCCCAGCTCCTCCCCTCCTTCTCTTTTATTATTATTTTTACTTATGAATGATTTTATAATCATTCAATTTTCTAAATGCTGTAGAAATCATGATAAATAAAACAAATAAGCTCTTTGGAGTTTATGTCGGATTAAGAAGGAGAAAAAAACAACAGTAATGGAAAAAAAAGATAAAACTATAGCAGGATTATATGACTCGATAGATAAAATAAAAAGACATGTTTCTATGGCAGCAATATTAAAACTGCTGGACTTTTGAATCTGAATCATCTGCACAAAAAGCTTGAGATCATATCAGGAAATAGAACAGACTTTGCAAGTACCTCAATGTGAAAAATAGATGGATATTTGTGAAGAACCAAAGACAAAGGAGATGCTGTGAAAAGTCTAATCCAGATTATCAGAAGGAAAATAGATAATTAAGAATAAGTATAGTTAACAAAAGGATAAATGTTAATAATTTTCCTAAAGCAATGAAAAAAATTTTTTTCTGTTTTGCACTAGTTTTTTCATTTTATTTTATTATTTTATTTTTTTACTGTAAAGATGTGGGGTACAATTCAGGGTGAGGTATATAAATGTTCATTATGGAGGTACCCTTGTTGATGAGGGGTGCCCCTCCCTCCCCCGGCTGATTCCCACTACCGCCAATCTTTTTCTTATAGTGTTACGATAATTGTTCAAGGTCCACTTATGAGTGAGGACATGTGAGTCTGTTTTTTGTTTCTGCGATACATCACTCAGTACCCTCCATCTCTTTGAAAGCACTCTATGAACTTTCATCCCACTAATCCCAACTCTTACTCATGCCAGCAATGGCCTCCATATCTTACCTGATCTCATCTTACTTGTCATCTACAGCAGTTGACAAGTCACTGGAAACACGCCACTCCTTTACTAGAACCATGTTCTCACTTTTCTACTTATCGGTGACTCTTTTCTGACTCTTTTGCAGATTTCTCTCATCTCTCCTAAGTCCAAACACTGGAATTTCTTAGCACTTACCGTTCTCTATACCGTTCTCTAACTCACTTCACAGGTGAACTCACCGTGGTGCTAAAAATCATCTGCATGCTGACACCTGATTTTCTATCCCCATATGTCCTTTCATGCCAGACTTGAAACTGCCTGGTTAACATACCCAGGTTGGTAGGATTTAAATATACAATATATGTTAGATTGTTTGTTGCATAAGGTTTCCAGAAAACCTTCTCCTAGAAAAATTAGTTTGTGAACTAGGGAAATACAGTTTAAAAGCACAGTTCTTATAATTCACTCGAAAGTACATGAGCCAGGAATGGTGACTCATGCTTGTAATCCCAGCACTTTGGAAGGCAGAGGTGAGAGAATTGCCTCAAAAAAGATTTCAAAATCCAGAGGTTTGAAACCATCCTGGGCAACTTGGCAAAACTTTGTCTCTACAATAAATAAAAAAATTAATCAGGCATGGTGGTGCACACCTGTAGTCCCAACTACTCAAAAGGCTGAGGCAGAAGGATCACCTGAGCCCAGCAGGTCGAGTCTGTGGTAGCCATGATCATGCCACTGCACTCCAACCAGGGCAATAGAGAGAGATCACGATTCAAAAAAAATTAATAACAACAACAAAAAAGAAAGTACTTGGTGAGGTCTGTCAAGGAAGCAAAATCTGGGATAGAGAGACTCTGTGAAATTGAACATAGTCCCTTCAACAGAGACCTTGGGATATTTTTCTGATATAATCCATTTCAGAAATTTTTACCACTTATATCTAAGTTTTTCTTGCAATAAATATCCTATTTACATATTTTCCTCAAATTTAATAAAGATATTCAATCACAAAAGATTGTTAAATAGTATCTCTAAGTATGATTTTTTTAAAAGCTCACAAATGTTGAGATAAAAATAACCATAACATACACCATGTATATAATAACTGAGGATCAATCATTTCGCTTCAGTAAACATACACATTTTAGAACACTGCTTTTGCACAAACAACTGGGATAGTTAAAATACCTTTGGGGGTCTTTACATGGAACCCAATTCACCTGAGGGTCTGGGATATACTCCAGATAAGGGAACACGGTTTCTCTGGTAAATTTCCATCCATAAAGTGCATCTTCTGGAGTCACAATGATTCGAGCACCCTGTTCAAAACACATCAAATAAAAATCATTTTCCCCTGTATAACTTAAACAGTTCAACCCTTCCATCCTCCACCAGCTCCCATGTTCTCCCCATGTATTATGATTAACAGAAATAAAAGAATACCTGATCAGCTGCTTGCTTAACTGCTCCTTCCAGAACATCTATATTTTTGTTCATGAGAAGCAAGGCCTCATGCTGAGACACAGGTCTTTCTGTTCTATTTGGCAGTATTACAGCATGTTCATACACCGCAGCGATGAAAGTGTCGAGCGCCCCGACATGCAGGGTGATCAGGGCAAAAACTGCCACAGAGGTAGGAAAAGAGGAAGTGACCACGGCCATGGTTTAGTGACTTCTGAAAGTGAAAATAACATTTATGTAGTATTTACAGAAGGGAGGACACTTAGGGATTGCGTGACTGCCAACTCCTGGGCTCGTATTTCAGAATATGAGGAACACATGATGCCTGGCAACTTTTGAGGGGGGAAAAAAAAGTTACAGGTCAGTGAACACAATCATAAAGTATTACCTCTGTCATGAACAGCACGTACTACTGATGAGATTTCATGTCCAATTTCAAAAAAAATCAAAATTCAAATATAGTAAAATTCAGCCTTTTATTAATAGAAAATAGTAAATTAGCTCTCAAATTAAGAATATCTCACAACATTCTGTTTACTGAATTTAAAAAACTGGTAACTTTTTTTTTATTGAGTAATTTGCATCATGTTTCTTTTAAGGAAAGAAAAAGTATTTAAATATTTGCTACTAGGAGAATGTACCACAGAACAATACTGAGAGCAAAATTCACCCAAATAAACACCCTGACTGATTTATTGCTATTACGGGCTATGAGTGCCATTCCATAAAAGCAGGCTTTTGTGCTGGCTTGTTCACTGCGGAATCCTTAGTGTCTAAAGCACTGATCCATCAACTCTCCAACCAGAGGAGAAATCCTGACCTCTGCTCAGGGACCCCAGGCCTCAGGAGGCTCAGCCTCTTTCCTTCTTTCCCCCTTTCATTCTCCCTTCTCCCTCCCCCCACTTTTGTTTTTCGGTGTCTTTTCTTTGTAGGAGGAAGATGCCAAGGGGAAGTGTCTAGGATGGTGACAAACGTCATTCCTACAGCAACAAAGGTAAGATGCTACTTTCAGTTTTGTTAGTGGCAAATAACTACCTACATGAGTTTAAAAAACAACAGCAACAACAAATACAGTATGCGACCTATTATGCTCTTCTGGGACATTTACATTCTCTCTTCCACGGTCCCAATCCCACCAGGTAAAGATTTTCTTTTATTTTTATCTGGGCCTCTTGGTAAAAGTCACTCAAATGCTTTCAACAGCATAGAAGAGTAGACACAAATAAATAAAATTTATTATGGGCCTTCCCTTATGCTGGAAAAAAAAAAATGTGGTCAGAATTGGGTCTAAGGGCTATAAATAAGATATGTTTATATATTCTGTTTTGAATAGAAGTTTATATTAAAGAAATAGCTTTTCTTACTTTTACAGAGCAGAAAGCTGAAAATAATTTCAAGAAAAGTGATCAAGCCCTTTAGTGAAAAATGTATAGTAAGAAGATATATAATTAGAAGATAGTATAATAAACCAGGTCAGGCATGGTGGCTCATGCCTATAATCCTAGCACTTTGGGAGGTAGAGCCAAGAAGACTGCCTGAGCTCAGTAGTTTAAGACCAGCTTGGCTGACATGGAGAGACCTCATTTCTATCTCTCTCTCTATGAAAAGATTGTATAATAGATGGTTGGTATATAATTATACTATATGTAGTATATATACAATTAGTAAATTAACATAGATTGTTGGCAGATCATAGCTTATGAGTGCCTTTAGAGTTTAGAAATCATGAGCCCCAAATGCTCATGTATTACAAGATACAAATCTGAGGCATAGAGAATAGAGAGGCAAAGTGACTTGGAACATGACGTGCCGCTTCTTATTCCTGGTTTGAGGATGTTTTTCCTGATCTCAAAGACATTGCACCAATGTCAAATTTCTGGGTTTGATATTGTGCAAGAGTTAAGGAAGATATGATCACTGGGGGAAACTGGGGAAGAGTATGGGGAATTCCTCTGTACTCTCTTTGCAGATTCCGGTCACTTACATTTGAAAATAAAAGGATATAATAAATAAATAAATACATAAATAAAAATTGTCTCTTAGAAACTGAGAATCTGAGTGGCAAAGGTAATTGCATAGAAGAATCAGAAGTTAGTAAATGAAGTAGCAAGTTAAGTACAAGAAGATTCTTAAGATGTAAAGAAAACATTTGCCATAGAGGCTGATGATATTGTTTTAAACCTTCAGAAGTAAAAAACCAAATTCAGGACATAGAATTTCAAGAGTTGGCATTGTTTTGTTGTTGTTCATAAGATGACTGATCAAGTGAGGTTTAACTTACTTTGTTTAACTGAGTTATAAAATAAGATAAGTTTACATTGTTACAGGGAATGTTGGCTAATTATAGTTCATTGCTAAAAGAGTCTACTTCCTAGTTTACCATTTTGTGATTAATGGACTCAGTTAAAAGGGTGAAAAAATCTATTAAAAATTATTTGTCAAAGCGTCACTGTAAAAAACAGTCATATCTCAAGGGTTTGTTTCTAATTGTGAATCTGAATATCTCTTAGGACAGTATGTAACTGGGCTAACTTTTAAGCCTATATTTTTAAAAAATCTCACTTTTCCACTTTTTCAAGAAGGAGAAGTATAGAGGTGTAGACTCAGCTTTGCCCTCCACTTCTTTAAAGCTCTGTTTCTCATCTAAAAGTTCAGACAATCAAACCTGCTCTGTCTCCTAAAGAGATGGAATACTCTCATGAAAGTCCTCTGTAAGATTATGATGGGGATGAAAATAATCAACAAAGCTGGGTGACAATTTAGTAAAGCAATGGCTCTGACTACTTGTTATTATTTCATTGTTAGGTGTACAGAGCTACGGTTGTTTTCATTAAACAACCCTAGGCTAAACATTATGAACTTCACAGCAACTTGGATGGACTTAGAGTCTATAGATACTGAGTGATCTATCACAGGAACAAATGACTGAGTATCCCGTGTTCTTACTCATAAGCAGACCTTGAACAATTACTGTAATACTATAAGAAAGGGATTGGCAGTAGTGGAATGGCAGTAATGGGAAACTGCCGGGGGCCAGGGGGGCACACCTCATCAACAAGGGTACCTGCATAATGGACTTTTGTATACCTAACCCTGAATTTTACCCCACATCTTTAAAATTAAAACAAAAACAAAAACAAAAAACTCTAGTCTAGATGAGGGATGAGTGTGACAGGTACCTGGGCATCAACTCCAGAGTCTTGCTAACCCTAGCATGGCAGGCAAACTTCAGTGGGGTGGTGAAGGTGAAGCAGAAACACCAAGGGACTCAGTCACAAGAAGGAGAAGCCACTCCACGCTCTAACACCGGCTGCTGGGCTTCCTGGTCTACTCCCTCTTCCTGTTATGAAATGACCAATGAACTGAGCAAGAGAGGTGGAGATAGCATGCATAATAATTAATTGCATTCTCATAAGCAGTAAGGATGACACATTAAAGTGAGAAGTGCAGAGACTGAAAAACCAGGCCCTTATTTTAAATGAGTTTCTCTTGATACTGTATCCACAGAAAGTACTTGGTGACAAAGAACAATGTTTCTGTGTCTACACCACAGTGTCTTGTTTATGTCTTTCGCAAGACTGTTTGAATCACCCTGTGAAAGGGAAGGTCTGTTTGAAGAGAACCAGGCTGTACATGAGGAATCTTTTGGAAACAGGTCCCATTGAGATAAGATGATGTTCCAGTTCTGGCTTTGGCTGGGTGTTCAACTCTTCAGGCAGTTAATGAACACAACTAAAACCAAGAGAGAATCCAAGTGGGTAAAGATATATCACAATCCTAGATTCTCTGAATGCTCTACTGGGTGAAAATGATGGTGCCACATGAAATTGCCAATCATCACCGTTTTTGACCTAGCTAAAGTAATTTCATGTGGTTCAACCAACCCTTTTGCTTTCCTTCCTCAGAAGTTTAGAATTGAAGTTTCAGAAGTCCATTTAAGTAGGCAGCATGCGTCCTTATTTTCTGACAACTCCCACTTTCTTGAAAGAAAAATATTAACAATATTAATCTCTTGCTGGGGATTTCCCACACTGTGCTAATCATTAACTCTGCCAAAAATTTCTTGCATTCACCAATGGGTCCTTCTTCAAATTCTCTTGGTTTAATGCAAAGCTTTTGCTCAAATCCGGATGACTGCTACAAGAGAAATAAATCCACAGAGCTGGATCAAAGTCACTTCTTTAATTATGTAGGCAATTAGAGAGACATCCATCTGAAAGAGCATGAAACAGTCTGGGTGCGGTGCTCATGCCTATAATCCCAGCACTTTGAGAGGCTGAAGTAAGAGGATTGACTGAGCTCATGGTTCTAGACAGCCTGGGCAACTTGGACCTCATCATTACAATAAGTCAAAAAATTTAGCCAGACATGGTGGCATGTGCCTGTAGTTCCAGCTACTTGGAAGGCTGAGGCAGAATGATTGCCTGAGCCCAGCAGTTTGGGGCTAAGCATGCCACTGCACTCCAGCCTGGGTGACAGAGTAAGACTCCTACTCAAAAAAAACAAAACAAAAAAAAAAAAGGCATAAGACAAAAGTAAAACTGAAATTTCAGCCATGGGAAAAAATGAAAAGCTCGATTAAAATAGAAATGTATCAAGTGGTGGTGCATACACTGTCTTATTGAGCAATCTAAGGATACCACAACAATTCACCCAAATTCAACTTGTTCATTTTCAGTAAACAAAAACATGAAGAAAGAAATATGTTTGTGGCCTAAGATGCGTCGTTCAGGTGAACCCTCTGCTGCTCTGGACTCAGTTGCTTTCTCCTTTCCAAGGCTTGTGCTTCTCTGGTCTCCCTGGTGACTCCGTTTTGGTTTCACTTACGGGGCGGAGGTGGGGGTATGGGGGGGTGAGGTGGGTCCTACTCTCTGGGATGAAAGAGGAATCCCAGCAGCCACTGGTTCCAGGGCCCTGCTTCCGAAGTCAGGAGCGGAGCAGGAATGTCTGTTTTCTCCTAGCCTGGCCATTCTAGTTGCTGGGCTTTTCTATCAGGAAGTTGTGGGAGCCAGGGAGAAACCATTCAGATCAGGTTGACCTGGAAGAAAAGAAACATGAAAGACTTTGTGGAGCCAGACAGAACAATGAGAAAATAGAGAAGTAGATTTGTGGACATTCTTTTAGCAAGATAATAACCTGGAATGAGTAAACCAAGTGCATTGACATGATTTCTACTCAACAGTGACGAGATTCAGCAGATGAACCAGAGCAATAGAAGCCGGAAATTCACTAGCCTGCAACCTAAGTTGAATCTTATAT